ATGGTCAGGAGATCGAGACCATCCTGGCCTAACACGGTGAAACCCGCTCTTTACAAAAATCAAAAAAATTGAGCCAGCGTGTGGTGGGCGCCTGCTCAGTCCAGCTGCTCGGGAGGCTGGAGGCATTGAGAATGGCGTGAACCCGGAGGGCGGAGCTTGCAGTGAGCGAGATTTGGCCCACTGCACTCCAGTGGGGTTGACAGAGCAAGACTCCCGATCTCAAAAAAAAAAAAGAGAAAGAAAAGGAAGGAAGGAAGGAAAGAAAGGAAGAAAGGAAAGGAAGGAGAAAAAAGGAAGAAAGAAAGAAGAAGAAAAGAAAAAGAAAGGAAGAGGAAAGGAAAGAAAGAAAGAGAGAAAGAAAGGAAAGAAAGAAAGAAAGAAAGAAAGAAAGAAAGAAATGAAAGAAAGAAAGAAAGAGGAAAGAAAGACAGCAAGAAGAAAGAAACTAACGTGGGACAAGGCCACCAGGTTACCACGTTGCTTGGAATAGCTGGCTGCATCATTATCTGCGGGACTATCTGACCCACGTAGCCGCATAAAAGTGTGTGTGCACCGCAGTGGGCTGGCATCACGCCAGTGAAGGTGGGGATAGGTGATCAGGCCCAAGCAGGTCCTGAAGGCACAAGTAAGTTACGTGAAGTAGTGGCCCAAAGCCTGTTGGGCCACCCCACTGCTGCTCCCCTGCCTTCTCCCTCCCCGTCTGTACCTGTGGCTGCGTGGGGAGTTCCCTCTCATTAGTTGACAGAGGAAGAGAAAACTTAGGCCAGACTTACAAATGGTTCTGCTCAGTATGCAGACACTACCGGAAAGTGGACAGCTGCGGTCCTATAGCCCCTGGGGCACATCCCTCAAGGACAGTGGTGAAGAGGAGTCTTCCCCGTGGGTAGAACTTCCGGCATGCACCTGTCTGTGCTCCACTTAGAAGGAGCAGATGTGTGACGAGATTTGATTCATGGCTGTTGCCAGTGATTTAGGTGGATGGTCAGGTGCTTGAAAGGAACATGATTGGAAAATTGGTGACCAAGAAATGTGTGGAAGAGATGTATAGACAGCCCTCTCTGAACAGGCAAATGACATCAAGATATCTGTGTCCCACGTGGATGCTCACCAAAGGGTGACCTCAGCAGAGGAGGACTTCAGTAATCAGGTGGACAGGATGACCTGCTCTATGGACACCAGTTAGGCTTTTCCCAGCCACCCCTCTCATCACCCAGTGAGCTCCTGAGCAAAGTGGCTGTGGTGGCAGGGATGGAGGTTGTGCATGGGCTCAGCAACATGGACTTCCACTCACCAAGGCCAAGCTGGGTACCACCAGCAACTGTGTGCCCATCTGCCAGCAGCAGAGACCAACACTCAGCCTGATAGGCTCCATTCCCCAGAGTAATCAGCCTGGTGCCTGGGGGCAGGTGGGTGACACTGGATGGCTCCCATCATGGGAGGGGCGCTGGTTTGTTCTTACTGGGATAGACGCCTTCCATGGATGTGCATTTGTCTTCCCTGCGCACAGTGTTTCTGTCGTCACTATCATCTGTGGGCTTAGAACGCCTCATCCACTGCCGTGCTGTCCACACAGTATTGCTTTGACCAATGAACTCACTTTGCAGCCAAAGAAGTGTGGCGGTGGGCTCATGCTCGCGGCATTCACGTGTCTTACCACGTACTCCATCATCCTGAAGCAGCTGGCGTGATAGAACGATGGAATGGGCTTTTGCAAACACGGCTCCAGCACCAGCTGGGTGGCGATGCCTTGGAGGGCTGGGGCAAGGTGCTGCTCCAGGAGGCTGTCTGTGCTCTGGATCGGTGTCTGATATCTGGAGCTGTCTCTCCCACAGTCAGGATTCACGGGTCCAGGAGCCAAGGGGCAGAAGTGGGAGTGGCACCACCCACCGTCACCCCCAGTGACCCAGTAGCAGGGTTTTTGTTTCCTGTTCCCATGACTTTACGCTCTGCTGGCCTAGGGGCCTTGGTTCCAAGGTGAGGAATGCTGCCACCAGGAGACACAACAATGACTCCATTGAACTGGAAGTTAAAGTGCCACCTGGGCACTTGGGGCTCCTCAAGCCTCAGAGTCAACAGGCCGATAAGGGAGTTTGGATGCTGGCTGGGGATTGAACCAGAGGACCCAGGGGACATCGGACTGCACTCCACACTGGAGATGCGGAAGAGCGTGTGGAATGCAGGAGGCCCCTTAGGGCTTCTCTAAGTGTAACCACACCCTGTGGTTAAGATCCCTGGAAACCACAGCAAGGCAAGTTTCCCTAGGAAACTACAGCAAGGCCCAGACCCTTAAGCACTGAAGCCTTGGGTCCCCCGGCCAGGTATAGAACCATTACCAGCTGAGGTGCTTGCTGAGGGCAAAGGGACTACAGAATGGACGGTGGTTATAAATACCAGGTACTCCTGTAGCTTGGCCAGTTGCAGAAATGAGGACTGCAACTGTCACGAATGTTTCCTCTCTATTTTGTTAAGAAAGCATTTGTGCGTATGCGTACATATATTCAGCAAATATCTGTTTTCTTTCCTCTCTTACTCCTTTATCATGTAATGTAAGATCTACTGACTTTGTCTCAGTATCAAGGTATTGTGAATTTTACATGACAGTGTTGAGGCCGTGGGATATTGGGAGAGGCTTCACCTCCTCTTCCAGGGAGGGAGTCAGTGCGTGTCTGGTTGTTTGCGGGATAGTTGTAACATGTTGGTTGGAACCATGACCTTGCTGCTGTCTATTTGGAGATGAAGTACAGTTTAAGGAGGCGTGTATGGGTTCCAAGCTGACAACGAGTGAACTTGTGATGGTTGGTTTCAGCTGTCAACTTGACTGGATGAAGGGATACCCAGAGAGCACGAAAGCATTATCTCTGGGTGTGCCTGTGAGGGTGTTTCCAGGAGAGGCTGGCGTTTGGGTCCGTGGGCTGAGTAAGGAAGGTCTGTCCTCACCCAGTGTGGGAGGGCACCATCCAATCCACTGAGGGCCCAGGCAGAAGGGAAAGAAGAATTGGTGCTCTCTTGCTCTCTCTTCCCCCGCCAGAGATGGGACACCCACCTCCTACTGCCCTTAGACATCGGAACTCCTGGTTCTCTGGCCTTTGGACCCTGGGACTTATACCAGTGGCCCCTCTGACTGCGAGTTACACTGTCGGCCTCCCTGGTTCTCAGATCTTCAGGCTTAAACTGAGCCACACTACCAGGGTCCCTGGGTCCCTTTGCACAGGGCAAATCATGGGACTTCTCAGTCTCCATAATCATGTTAGCCGATTCCCATAATAAACTCCCCTTTCTTCCATCCATCCATCCATCCATCCATCCATCCATCCAGCTACTCAGCTAGCTACCCATGTCTCTACTTATCTCTCTCTATGTCTACCTATATCTCCGTCTACATCTGTATATCTCTCTGATCTATCTCTACCTCTATGGTAATCTCGATCTATCTATCTGCCTGCCTGTCTGTCTGCCTGTCTGTCTGTCTGCCTGCCTGCCTGTCTGTCTGTCTGCCTGTTTGCCTGTCTATCTGTCTGTCTGTCTGCCTGCCTGCCTGTCTGTCTGCCTGTCTGCCTGTCTATCTGCCTACCTGTCTATCTGCCTGTCTGTCTGCCTGCCTGTCTGTCTGCCTATCTGTCTATCTGCCTGCCTGCCTGTCTGTCTGCCTATCTGTCTATCTGCCTGCCTGTCTGTCTGCCTGTCTGTCTGCCTGTCTGTCTATCTGTCTGTCTGTCTTGGTCTCTATGGATCTGTACTTATTCATCCATCTCACTCCGTGTATCTGTCTCTGTATCTATCAATCTACATCATGGAGGACCATGGCAGGCGCTCACCGCTGTGCACTGCACCGTCCCTCCCAGTGGGACCAGAGCACTGGTCCAGCCGGCTGCCCACAGCTCTCAGCTCTCTTCTCCCAAGGAAATGCCCTCAGCCAAAGTCAGGTCCCTCACCCATAGCTTCTCCCTGCCCTGGAAGCCACCTCAACCCAATGAATGGTCGATAGAGGAAGCAACAGGTCAGGTCCTTCACCTCAATTCATGGCCTCTCTAAAGGCCAATGCTCCAAAAGCACCCAAGGCATCATCAGAAACCATCTTTGCGAGTGCAACACAGCTCAGCTCCCCACACCTGCTCCTTCCCTCTCTCCCAGCCTTTGTCCCTAAGAGCACTCGCCACTTTACCCTTGACCTGCACGTCTGTCTGGCAGTGTCTCTCGGGGAACCAAACCTCAGCGGTTTGGAAACAACAAATTCCAAAGGTCGTGCCTGGGCCTGGAGCTCTGCTGACACGGAAGCCATGCCCACCTGGGACCTGAGGGCGTTTCT